CTCTGAAAAGCACTTGTTGCCAAAACTCCTTGGTGGGCGGTCCTTTCTCTAACGACACTCACTGTCCCAGCTGGGTGCAATCAAACTAACAGTGAACAGCCGTGTCTAATTGAGAGCACAGCATAAAAGAGGGCATTAAGGCTGTAGCGCCAGCGGAAGCGTCAGCCCTTCTCGAGTAAGACCTTTGAGAATAAGACCTGCGTGTCTACCTGTGCGTGTCCACCGAGCAAGGCCACTGAACAAGGCAATCTTGTCCCACTGCCATTCCGCTTTCTTCCACAATGTGCCACAAATACAATTCCATTCCTGTTGTCACTACCTCATGCAGAAGGTCCCGCATTATCAAACGGTACCGCAACCTTCACAACCTCCGCTCTCTTAATGAAACCTCCCCCTGTGACACACCCTTGTCTGTGGGGTTGTGGAACTGCCAATCGGCAGTAAACAAAGCTGACTTCATAACTGCTTATGCCAAACACCTGTCACTTGACATCCTGGCTCTCACTGAGACCTGGATTAAGCCTGAAAACAGCGCTACCCCGGCTGCACTTTCAATTAACCACACTTTCTCCCACACCTCTCGTACATCTGGGAGAGGTGGTGGAACAGGCTTGCTAATTTCCAACAAATGGAAATACAACCAACTAACGCCTAATGCCAAATACAATACTTTCGAATACCATGCCATCTTGGTCACTGCACCAGTCAAAATCTGCATGACTGTTATCTATCGCCCACCAGGGCAACTAGGCGACTTTCTAAATGAACTTGATATCCTACTTTCCTCCATCCATGAATATGATTGTCCCACAATGATCCTTGGTGATATGAATATCCACCTTGGCTGCGCTAACTCCTCTGATTTCCTCTCACTAATGAACTCATTTGACCTACAAATGGTCAGCAGTCCTCCAACTCACAAAGCTGGCAAAGCACTTGATCTCATCTTCACAAGAAAATGTGCTATAGAGGCCCTCTCTGTCACACCTCTGCACCTTTCTGATCACTATTTCATTCAACTCAGTGCAAATCTTCCCAAAAATCCCTCTGCTTCCACCTCTATGGTTTCCCTCCGCAGAAACCTCCACAAACTCTCACCTACACAATTCTCATCCCATGTTGCGTCCGCTCTCCCAAACTCCAGCACATTTTCCTCATTTGAGGTTAATGAGGCCACGGAGACCCTTTGCTCTACATTGAGCTCCTGCCTGGATAGTCTATGTCCTCTATCCACTAAACCTGCTCGAGCCTCTGGGTCCCACCCATGGCTCAATGATACACTCAGAGCACTACGCACCAGCCTTAGAGCTGCAGAACGGAAATGGCACAAATCAAAAAATCCAGATGATCTAACAAAATTTCAGGCACTGCTGTCTGCATTCTCTTTAAGCATGACTGATGCAAAAAAGACTTTCTATACTGATAAGATTCACAGTACAACCGACACTCGAAAATTATTCTCCATCTTCAAAAATCTGCTTAACCCTCCTCCTCCGCCACCTGTTACTAGCTTAACGGCAGACTCGTTCGCCTCATTTTTTACCGACAAAGTGGCAGCTATAAGCAAACAGTTTACTGAACGGCTTGCACATGAAACTTCTCATAGTACATATACAAGCAGAAGTCCTACTGCTTTGTTCTCCTCCTTCGCTCCTCTCACTGAGAGCAATGTGTCCAAACTTCTCACATGTAGCCGTCCTACTACATGCCTGCTGGACCCAGTTCCTACAAACCTACTCCAGTCCATAGCTCCTACAGTTACTGCAGCAGTCACACATGTGATCAATGCTTCGCTGACAACTGGCACATTTCCTAACTCATACAAGCAAGCTTTGGTCACACCGCTGCTCAAAAAACCCTCTCTCCCACCAACTCAGGTGGAAAACTATCGGCCGGTTTCTCTGCTTCCATTTCTGTCAAAGACCATTGAAAGGGCAGTCTTTAAGCAGGTCACAGACTACCTCTCACAAAACAATCTCCTTGATACAAATCAATCTGGGTTTAAAAGTGGCCACTCCACTGAAACGGCTCTGTTGTCTGTGACAGAAGCCCTAAAAGAGGCAAGGGCAAATGCCAAGTCCTCAGTACTTATCCTCCTTGACTTATCAGCCGCATTTGACACAGTCAATCATGACATCCTTCTGTCTATACTCTCGAGTATGGGCATCACAGGGAGAGCACACTCCTGGTTTGAGTCGTACCTCACTGGTCGATCATTTAAAGTATCCTGGCTTGGTCCCACTTCTGCAGTGCACCACCTCGCCACAGGGGTTCCTCAAGGTTCAGTACTTGGACCTCTTCTCTTTGCTATATATACCACTTCCTTGGCCCAGATCATTCAATCACATGGTTTCTCCTACCACTGCTATGCTGATGATACACAGCTCTATCTGTCATTCCCACCTGATGACCACTCGGTCTCAGCACGCATCTCAGACTGTCTCTCTGACATATCAAAATGGATGAAAGCCCACCACCTCCAGCTGAATCTCTCAAAAACTGAACTGCTTGTCTTTCCAGCAAAACCAACTATTCACCACAATATTCACATCCAAACTGAATCCCTCTCTCTGACTCCATCAAAGGCAGCAAGAAACTTGGGTGTCATGATTGATGACCAGCTGACCTTTAAAGATCACGTTGCCTCTGTTTCTCGATCCTGTCGCTTCGCATTACTAAACATAAGAAAGATCCGGCCGTACCTAACACAACATGCTACCCAGCTCCTGGTGCAGTCTATGGTCATCTCCCGCCTAGACTATTGCAACGCACTCCTGACTGGTCTCCCGGCCTGTACAGTAAAACCTTTACAAATGATCCAGAACGCGGCGGCGCGTCTGGTCTTCAATCTGCCCAAAAAATCTCACGTCACCCCTCTGTTCATTGAACTCCACTGGTTACCTCTGGCTGCCCGTATCAAATTCAAGTCCCTGATGCTAGCCTACAAAGTGCTTAAGGGTATGGCTCCCATCTACTTGAATCCCCTTGCAAAGGCTTATGTCACAACTCGATCACTCCGGTCATCAATGGATTGTCGTCTAGCAGTGCCTTCACCACGCTTAAGACAATCCAGACTGTTTGCATGTGTCGTTCCAAGATGGTGGAACGACCTACCAAGCGCCACAAGAACAGCAGCGTCCCTGTCTGTTTTCAAGAAACTCTTGAAGACCCACCTCTTCAAAGAGCATCTCCTATCCTAACCCTAACCCGTACCTCTACCCCCCCCACAGCTCCTTCTGTAGCCCCTCTACCTCTATCTCTATCTCACCACTGACTCTGATCAGTGTTTCTGTTCTATTAAGTTTATTGTCATTGTGATGAGAAATGTAATATTGTGTCTACTCTGTAAGTCGCTTTGGATAAAAGCGTCTGCCAAATGCATAAACATAAACATAAACATAAAACCAACCTGTTTAAAATTTCTTACCAACCTCACCACCTCTAACTAACATTCCGCACCGTTTTATTCATTTAATTTTTATTTAATTAACTTACGATGTTTTTATTTATGATGTATTTATGACTTTGTATGTTTCAATGTTGTTTTAATAATGATCATCTTTGTAAAGTGTCCTTGAGTGGCATGAAAGGCACTTTTAAAAAATAAAATGTATTATTATTATTATCACAATAAAAAAAAATCTTCTAAAAGATACTATTTTCAAGTTTAGTTTGAGAATGGCTGAGACTATGAGCTCATCAAAGATAAGAAATCAGAAGAAATCTGATATCTGCAATGAAAAAAGAACCGATCTCTCTATATCATGCATTTTCTGTCTCTGCCAGGCTTCAATACAAACCTCTGCCCATGTCCAAACTTGAACCTTTCACCCTAATGAGGTTAATGTTAAAGAAATTAAATAAAACATTTTTTTCCCTTATCATGATGGATTGCAGTCAGGATTGTGAAACACACACACAATTCATGAATCACTTTTGGTTACAAGCCAGAGTTTAGATATTAACGTACACACCCTTTCTGTAGAGGCCTTTTTAACACTGAGGACTTTGACTCCTTTGGGCAGATGAAACTCATGGTTTTCAAAGTCCGTACTGAAGAATGTATTCTGTGTCCGAGGGTCGGTGAAGGATATGCCAACATCACTAACGACCGAGGTCTTGTCCTTTTCTACGCTCAGCTTGGAGGTGCCTTGCTGGAACACCACCTGTCAACAACACGAACAAAAAGAGGAAAAAATAGCTCTGTAAATAGCCCCACAGGGTGTGTCTTTATATATGTGTATATATACAAACACACACAGAGAGATAGATAGATAGATAGATAGATAGATAGATAGATAGATAGATAGATAGATAGATAGATAGATATGCTGAATAATAAACTAATTCAAATGATTTGATCCCTTTTCTCACCGGGTTGTTGTTCCCAACGATGACCAGGTCCTGGTCTTTACGCCCCCCCACCGTGCTTTTGTGCAGAGGGTGAACGATGCCCATGTCTGCTTTCTGCTTGAAGCGCAGCAGGCCGCTGTCATGGAACTCCATGCTGTCGCAGCCATTAGGCCCGATGCGGATTACCGTCCATATCACCAGCGTTATCTGAACGGCAGCAAAGTGGGCAGTCGCAATTATTATATCACTTTGGCAAGGTGTGTGTTAATGGAGACAAGCAGTGTGAGGCATGAGCCACTCACAATGAGGTTAATTAAGGCCAGAAGGAAGAGGAGAACAATGATGCAAACAGCCATGTTTCCCTTGCGTCCCCTCAGCCCCGTCTTGTGAAGACGTTCCTCTTCGATGGGTACATAGCCTGCTTTGAAGTTGCTGTTGTGCTCCTTGTTGATGTTGCGTCTCTCTATGGCCTTCTCTCGCATGGACTTCTTCACTGGCCCATTGGAGCTCTCCTGGAAGGCAAAGCAACTTCTAAACAAACCCCTTATTCTGTACAGAAGATGCCCCGATTCCAACAAAACACTCTCCCTAAATTGGAACCAACTCTTCTGCACACACACACACACACACGCAGAGGCATGCTGACCCATGACTAACATTCAGTCATCTGGAATCTGTGGCACAGGTGTTCTGTTTTATTAATTTCTCGTTCAGGTGAGCAGAACTGGATATTTCAATGGTGTTTTCTATTCATCTCCAAAGGCACATAATAAACCTAAAGAGCTCTCTCCATCGGCACTGGAACGCATGCGTGAAGGCTCCGAGACATGCAGTCTGTGGCACGACTAAAAATAAACTGAACTCATTTCAGCAGCAAAATGGAGCACGCTCCATTTTCTCCCTCAATACAAAACCTCTGTCCCATTTCTGTTAAGATCTATTTCTAATTGCATCGTTGCCGGGGCACAATTCTGTTGTACAGCCACACTTTCCTTCCAAACAACACCAAAACAATAATAACGACGCGGAGGCCAGGAATCGTCGGGCTACACTGATTTTGCCAAATGGCACAAGGGCGATACACAGTTCATTTACATGAATCGCTTCAAACATCTGTGCTGATAAAAATTGGTCTTATGGAGTCTGTTGGCAAGAAGAAAATACGCATACCCCAGTAAATACGAGAATAAAGGCAAATAAAGATCATAACGGACCTGCTCGGACGCCATGTTGACCCTCCCTCTTCTGCTGGTAGATTGACGAGGAGTGTTCCATTCTTCAGCGGCAAGGGACAAAAAAGGTAATATTGATTTGTTGATAGTGTTAATAACATTAAATACGATTATATGATATAAAGGTGGACATCAAGACAACGCTGTGTCGTACTATAGATAAACTAACGTTTTATTTGTCTTAATAAGGGCATACTAGCAACAGTGGAAAAAATGGTCCATTCCAAGTTCAACCAGCCAATGATCCGAAGGTCCTAAAATAGAGAAAGCGTTCCCATTCAGAGTTTCCATGGGTAACGCCCATTCATTGTAAATTTTTTCTCACGATGTGGCGTTTTAAAATGAAGTAAATCAGTTTATAATAAAGATGGAAATCTAAAAATGTTGGCTTTGATAGTCTAATGTGTGTTTATAAAGAAAGACTGTGTACAGGTATCCTTTAATAATAAATAGCTTTATATAATAACAGTATACCAAACTTTTCTGCACATTTGAACTATTTTCAGATATTGCCAGGATTACTCTTTAGTATAAATCACTCCTTACATTTATAATATGCCTGTGCTTTAAAGGGCTGTAATAAACTGAAGAGTTTATGTACTTTCAATTCAATTAATCGTATCGTGCAATAATATAATCGGATTTATTCCACCAGAGAGAAAGAGAGGGAGCGCGAGGGCGATCAAACACACACACCCGTGCCCGTGTTACCGCAGGTTACTTTTCAGGTGTTTGGTGTCGTTTGACAGTATGGCATTACCATCGTATTTACATTACAAGAAAGCGCACTTACAAAGAGGCTGAAGCTCCCGCACCGGACGTTAGGAGAACTGTCTTCAAAACGCTCGGCTTGTCAGATCGACTCTTTTTCCTCGGTTGCCACAACTGAGGGTGGTGCTTGGCATCGGCGTGAGGAGAGTAGAGAAAGCTGCTGGGCCCGGAATTTTTTTTTTTTTTTCAAACTCCAGATCAAACTCTCCTCCTCCCTGGGCATTAAACCTCCGAGGATTAGTTATTTTGGACGGACATGGCGGACACTTTAAGGAGATTGACCAACACATCTTCCTTCAGCGTCTTGCAGGACAAGCTCGAGAGCTGGCACAAAGACTACCACGTAAGTCCATCAATAAGTCATGGTCGACCTAAATCTGACCAAGCCACTTCAGTGACCCCACTTTGGATCAAGTGACTGTTTAAACAATGCAATTTCATCAATGCCATTTTTGAGAGAAATAAGAATAAAAAAAGTTCCAAATGATGCACAAAACCTTATCCTCTAGCGCTGAAAAACGACTCCTGTTGATTGTGGGTTTGTTAACATGGTCACTTAAAGGTGCTGTTTTATTTTCTATTATCGAAACATTTGTTGTTTTGTTGTTTTAAACCAATACAGCAATGGAATGAATTTGCTTAGATAACATTGATTTAAGTAGAGTTTGGTTGCTATGGACGCCAGTCGCCATGGCTACGGCTGGACTGTTTCAAAGCTATTTCTTTTCATTTTTTTTAGATAGTTCTCCTCCTGTCGCTTCCGGTTGGAATTCCGCTGGACGTAATCTAACCGGAAGCAGGCGACTTCAACCGGAACTAGCCTGTGAAACACACACACTGGATTAAAAAACAACAATTTATGAACAAATAATTTGGAGTTTATGCTTTTGTCGCTTAAGTATCGAGTTAAATAAGACATTTTTATAGTAATAAAACTAAAGGTCAAAGTTTATTTTGAGTATGTATATAGTTAGTATATAGTCCATTAAAAGAAAGAAAGATTGATGCAAATGTTTGTTCCCTTTTAAAGATAATTTCCTGTGACCAGAATCTGAATAGATGTTGTGAGCTCATTGAACTCACCGCCAAGATCCAGGGCCAGCTGTTTACCATTCTTAACCACACAGCTGCGGAAGGTAACCTTCTCAGGACTCTGATTTTACCTCATGGGCTCACTTTAAACATGATTGTACTGTCTTTCTTATTGAATCAGGCGGTCATTATGCTGGAGTGGACACTCTTAAAACGCGCCTGTTACCGTGGCTTGGGACTTGTTTCTCAATGGCGAGGTCTTCCGTCTCTGACGACACCAGCCTGCAGCTCATCCAGGTGCCACAGTCTGTTATATGTATCTTCATTTACTTCTTGCAGAGTAACAATACAGTATTTTTAAAAAGCATGGGCAAATTGTAATACCTTGTATTATAATTTTTCTTTGTCATGTGTTGTCTTCAGGATTCAGCAGAAAAGGAGAGAAAGATCAAGGAGCTCTCTGTCTGCCATGAAAGTGACATGCAGGCGATGGAGACTCAGCTGTGTTCCACTCGCCTTCAACTGGAGTCAGTCAGAGCAGAGTAAGCCCAAAGATATAGCACTGAAGGCTTATGTCTAAATGTTGTCTGGGTATCTGGAAAAAATTGTCAATTTAGGTTCAGCTGTTGATTTGTTTCGATAGACTGATGGACGCGCAGAGGGAGCTGGATGATACAAAGAGCAAATCAACGACCACGCTGCTCGCCACTGAAGACGAAATCCTACAGCTAAAAGCAGAGTAGATCAGATTATTGCATGTTTAACTAAATATTGCCATAAGAGATCTCTTTTTCATACGCAATACCTCTTGAAAAAATAAGGATTTATTCAATTGATTGTAAACCTTGTGTTTTAGTTTGCGCTCCGCACACGAGCAAGTGGACATTTATAAGAGGAAGATGGATGATTTGGATGATTATGAGAGGCAGATCCGCTTGTTGAGAGATGAGGTGTCTTATCTGAGCACAGAGAAGGCCATGCTGCAGGAGAGGTATAATCACATATATGCACCTAAACCCTGTGTGCATGCATCATGACAGTCCACTTTCCTTGTGCAGCTGAGGTCATTTTAGTTGTTTTTTGCATCTAAGGTTGGTGAGAAGTCGCTCTCCAAGCCCCTTGCCCAGGCTCAGCCGCTCGTCCAGTCCTGTGAGAAGCGAGTCACCCACCAGAGCCCAGCTCACTAACTCCTCCCGCCATGCTCGCCTGGTGTCACGCTTTAGCGACCTTTACGCTGTGGAGCGAGTGAAGGCCCAGACTCTGCTTCGACGCTACATCGGGGACTTGGAAATGGTCCAGAAAATCATCTTCATTGCCGTTGTGGTATGACTGCAGTTCTTGTGGCATTGTCTTTTCATAGAATAGACGTGTGCATAAACCAAATCAACAATGGCTCAACTGAGCTGTTGTGACGATCGATTTTAAACTGCTATAAACACAGGGATATCAGTCGAAAACCACTAAAGCTAAACAAATTCTGCCACAAAAGAAAACACAGGATCTCAAAAACACAAAGCATTTCAGGAAAGGTGAAAATTTTCACACAAACACCAACAGACCAGAAAGAAATCATTCATAAAACATGATCAATTTTCAGACATAGATACACGTCATGCGGATGTGCCAGAACGAAGTCTATGTTTTCAGTTTCATGAAGGAGGCTAATAACCTGTCAGATTACCATGGTAACCCAGGCTGTACACATAACCTGCTTGGAAGCGACTTAAGTTCATCATTTTGGATTGTTGTGTACGTAACAGATCTGCTTTTTGCTGTTGTTTCTCATTCTAAAATTTCAGTTTTGAAGCTGTGTTGTCAGGTCAATGCTGCTCTGTTTGCTCTTTCAGGAATCCTTCCAAACGGCAAAACTGGCCTTCCGCCAATTCAAGTTGCGAGTGAGAAAGACGCTGTCCCTAAGCCACATTGGACCAGAGAGTCTCGAGGATGCGGCTCTGGACTACATCGTCAGAAACCTGGACCTCTATGATGTTCAAGCTAGCGTCAATGTGGGGCAAAAACGCTTTCGACCCGGCAGCCGTAGTTTCAGTATTGGCAGAGACATATCTCACCGTGTATTCCATCTCTCCAGGAGGTGATCAACGCTATGAATGTGAACCCTCGGATCTCCTACCCGCCAGAAGTGGACTTTTTCCTCATCAGTGCCTTGATCAGGGAGACGTGCAGGGTGGCGTTCGCCATGCAGACTCTGGACCCTCCCCTGGATTTGGCCTTTGCAAGTGATGGAGAACTATACAATGAGAGCAAGTATGTCCTGTGTAGATCATGGTGCTATGGAATGCATTTGGAATGACAGGGTAACATAAGATAGATGGTATAAGATAGATGGTATATCCGTATAGTTGCTCAGGACAGTGGTGTGCTGTCCCGGCCAGTAGATGTCACCCTCAACACGCAGATGGCTGTTTCTGTCTCTCACCCTCTGACAGGTACCGTCAGAGCTATGACTCTGAGTTCAATGCTCCTCTGGTGATGTACCATGTGTGGCCAGCCCTGGTGGAAGGAAACATTGTCATTTTAAAAGGCGAAGCGGTGACCAGAAGAAACGCTCTGGTACAGATTATTTTCAAACTACAAATAAGTTAACGGAGACTCGGGTTTTCCATAGACATGCCTGATAACGGGCGCCTTTGGACTAATGATCTGCCTGTGTTTGCAGTGGAGCCACAGCAGGACCAGGAGCGTCAGCCCCGTGCGCTCTCGATCTCTCAGCCCCAATCGCAGTCTTGTAAGTCCTCATTGTGCTTGACTGTCTAACCCGAGCCACACAAAGGAGGGCACAGTCTGACGTTTTAGTGACAAGGATGTTTGATTCTGTACTGTTTGTAATACAACTCAGATTTATCACTCTTTCATGCACTCGGATGGTCTAAAGGGAGTATTCAAAGATCCCATTTAAAAAAAAAAAAACTCACCGAATAAAAACTTTCATGTCTTTTTTAGGCATATAGGAGCAAGAGAAGCCTTTCTCCTGAACGTCTCACTGCAAGGCACCTGTAAGCACGGACTTCATTGTCAACACCACAACAGCGTCCATTGGTGCTTCAAGTACAGCTTTTTAAATAAAGTGAAGTATTTCTAGTTTAATTTCAAATGTATTTTTACACTTTGACCAAAGAAAGGAACAAAATCCTTTATTACATGACCGGCTGTGGCAGCCTGGTGTTCGAGAGCCACCATCAAAGGGGCAAGGGGAGCAGGGCAGCTACTCAAATGAGCAAATTCTGCATTTGGCTGTATTTATATATACTGTGATTATGAGTTTTTCAGTACTCATTGTGATAAAAAACGTTCCAGGTGAACAGTGGGATTTTCTGAAACACTTTCTGTAACAGCTGAAATCTTATTCAAGTAGGCCATAGCCCCCCCCCCCAGAAAGAACTGACATATGTCTGTTTAACAGACTGGTGTGGGACACAAAGTATGGTGCTAATGGGATGAAGGCTAACCTTGTAGCATCCAGTGCTTATGTATCTGATATTAGCACATGTTTGTAGTGTTAGCACATCTTTGTAGTGTATTATGTTGTAGCTTTATTTCTCAATTTATTATTCTTTGATGTTTTTGGGTGATTAATGAGACCAGAAAAAACTGTAAGTGATATTAACAATTGAAGTCAGCAATAATATTTTTTTTTCCAAATGTTTGTCTCATTTCATTAAGGAAGAGAATCAATAGCTTTTGACTGAAAGGACAGAAAAACAACAGTACATGCTGGTTAGCACTGTCACTGCACAGCAAATGGGTTCCCGGTTCCAATCCCCGGGGAACTGTAGTGCCTTTCTGTGTGAAGTTTGCAAGTTCTAACCACGTATGGGTGTGTTCAAGCCAGGGACTCCAGCTTCCTCCTGTAGTTAAGAAACACACGTTAGGTTACTTGTAGATTCTAAATGAGCTGTAGGAGTGAGTGAGCACCCGTGTGGTCATTCGGCTATATAGCCAATAGATAGATGAATGATGTCACTGCATTTTATTATCTAAAAATGAGAGTGAATATACTCTGAACGTGTTATGATTTTTGCTACAATAACACCATTTTTTAAACTCTAAGATTCTAGAGTATTTTCTGTTTTTTCATAACTCTGCTATGGAACACCTTCAAATAGATTTAAATAGATCGATAAATAAATAAGAAAGTGAAAGATTCTTCTGTTTAATGTTTTGATTAAAGTAATTAGGAGTAGAGGCAGAGATGTGCAGATGCTAATTTTTTGTGCCAGTTTATTTTGACACCAGTTGTTAAAAATGAGCCAATCAGTGGTGTGGTGGTTAGGATTGTCCATATACTCTGGCTTACTCCACCATCCAGAAACATAGAGTATATCTTACATTAACTGGAGATTCTAATTTGACTCCTGGGTTGTCTGTCTCTGTGTGGCCCTGTGATGGACGGGCAATCTATCCAGGATATACAGTGTACAGAACCTCTGGGCTAGTGACAATAGGACACAGGCTCCAGGCATAACATTGAAGTGGATTAAGTGGGTATCAACTACTTAGATCATATCTATCATCAAATATTAGATGTTTTCTCCACTGAGAAGAAGCCAAAGAAACCACCAAAAGCTCACAGACCCCTTGAAGACCAGTCTCAACAGGATCACTTGCTAACATCTGGCTTTCTTTGATTTGCTCATTCATGTATATGTATCTAATTTGTGATGGAACATAAGGGCTCAAGCATAATTTGATGGAAATCATATTCATCTACCGTTGATTACACTCTGTTGTCTTTGTGTGGACACTGATTGAAGATAACACGTCTGTGTTGTAGCCGCAGTCATTAGCATCCCACATCAGAGGATGCTGCTCATCTCAATAACAAAGTATGCTGAGGCTGAAAGGTGGTTCAGCTCAGTTTCATCTTCGTCTTCCACTCATACAGGAGTGCCTGGCAAACTTTTATGCTTTGTCAAACTCAGACGTCCGATTTGAAGTGTTACACAAGAAAAATGCTAAATATCCTTGTGTAACCTTTTTTATTGGCACGCATAAGAGCTGTGGAGAACATAAACAGGGACCCAAAAAAAGTGGAAATTTCCCATGTCATGGAAACTTCCTTAATGCCTCCTCATTGCATTCCTACACAATGAGCATATTGTCTAGTCTGACATAGTTTATAGAGGTCCAGGCTCCGGGGACACACCAGGTCTGCTACCATAATGATACTGGGAGAGTGTGCCAACTGTCATTCAGAGGGCCTGAGGGGTTGTTTACTCAGGTGTGCTTAGCATGGCCGTGGAACAAATGCAGAGTGCCAAAAGATGGAGAAGGAAGAAAATAATTAAGACTCTTTTGCTCCGCTTGCACAATGGACAGAAGAGATTTAAAGGCCCACCTCTTCTGTCACTGCTCTGGATTTTCTCAGCAAAAAATCCTGAGAGTACAGTTTCTTTTGTGATGAGGATGACAACATTTCAGTGGCTGCCAGAAGATAAAACCTTCCAACGTGCATCCAAACAGAATTAGGGTTCAGCTGAAGCTCATCCATACTAAACTAAGACTGAGTGTCTATAGCTTGATCTTGATAAATAGCCACCCAGTTCCCACAGCCTGACCAGCAGGGACAGATTAATGGGGCTGTATACCACTGCACATGACAACATGGTTATGGCTGACCAGACGGCTGTATGCATATCAAAAAGAATACTAAATCAGGCAGAAAATAGAACGACTGAACAAAATTAGAGCTGCTACCTTTAGACACGAGCTGGTACTTTTTTTTTTTTAATGGATAATTAGAGGTGTCAGTGAGCCACTGCAAGTCAGTGAAGCCCCAGTGTCTGCATGTGACCCAGAAAAGCCATTGAACTCATCTGGAATGGAGCGGGGTGGTTTTTTACAAGAGGAGGACAATTTATGACAGGAGGGACAAAACAGTGGTTAAGTGTAAGTGCACCACACGGACAACCAGATTCCAGCCTTCTTTTTCTCATTTTTGACCACTCTGCAAAGCCCAGGGGCGATTTCCTTACCCCTGCCTGAGATTGTGAGGTCATAGTGTTGGGTTTGCTGTAGGCTCCAGCCTGCTGGATGCTAGAGAGTAAACAGGCGTGACTGCTGATTTTCCTCTTAGTCCCAGAGAGCCCGGACATCAAGTGACCAAATCCACAGCCAGAGGCTCGACAAGAGGAAAACCTCTCTATGATGACTATAAATAAAAAAAAACAACAACTTCAGATTTGGACCCTACTTTTCCCAAAACAGAAATGTATCTTGCTTCCTTCCTGCTCTGTCAACCTTACTCATCTGGCTATCATAAGCAAATCAGAATATCTGGAGGTCTAATGATTTTCGCAAGTTTGTTTGAAATAGTTTTACACAAATGCTGACAACTGCATTGATGAATGGATGCATTTTCTGGCATGCAAGGGGGGCTGGGAACACTAAAATCTCTCTATTATGAATGCGGAAAAGATTTGTCTCTGTTTTAACGGTGACATAAAAACCAGCGACAATGCAATCAGAATGTGGAGCCTCTCCTTATTTTTAGAGATTGGAGACTTAAAAAGCGGATGGTTCACGATTTTCCACAGAATGGTGTTTTTAGCAAGTCACTAAAGCCCCAAAGGCTGCCGTGACCTTTTCTCTTTCAAGAGGATAAATGAGATCAACTAGATGTCAATGGCTTGGCAAAGAGAGATCTATTTACCTTTCAGGTGGACAATTTCACAGCTGTTGAGTAAAGACGTCAGTCTGTGCTGTAATTACACAATCTGCTTTGTCAAGAGGTGCACCACGGTGAACTCAACCTGCCCCCTGACCCTCCTTCGGTTGCCGGTATGCTCCATATAAAACACAGCTTGGATTAATGGGAATAGCAGTCATCCATTGACATTACGGAGCAGCAGTGGTGGAGGAGGAGGAACGTCACTTGATACAGGTGTGAGATTCAAAGGTTACTGCACCACTGGGGGGGGGGGTTTACGCTCAGATTTGAGAATCGCGTGGAAGCACGCGATCAAATCTGGCGCCATAATTCTGTCTGACTCGTCTCCCCCGCCCTGAGAGGGACAGCTGCTAAACTAGCATTAGCAATTGGGAGAAAGACAGAACGACCAAAAGGGTAAATTAATGGGAAAGCTGAAACCACACACTGAAATTTTGTCATAGGTGCTTGATCCCATGAGGTAAACCTGCAAAGCAAAAAAACAAACAATAGACAATAATGAACAAGAGATACCTAAAAGTTGTGTAACTGGTCTACTAACGCAAAACAGTAAATATAGAAAGAAGTGCAAATATAGCAGAGGAGTAAGAAAAAGCATGAAGATTTTCTATATGGATCCATACAGTAATAGCAGACTCAAAGTTCACTGGTGTTCTCACCTCTTACACATGTGACTTAGTCATTAATGCCAAAGGTAGGACTGACTTTCATAGGCATAAGCAGCAGAGCTGAATGAGTCTCTTTGGATATTGAGCTCCAACAGTCCTCAATCAGTCAGACGTCTTTTGGGCTTCATTGGCACGGATGCTGCTCAGGCCATAGAGCAAAAGACAGAAAGCTGCACTTAGAAACCCAGACTGATTGAGGATCGCAGTCATATTGCATACGATCAGGAGGTCTGAGGTTTGTAAATACAGACCCACTGGTGCACCAAATAATAGGTAGATCGGAGGAGTGGGTTGCCCAAAGTGCACTTACCAACTGTTCGTGTATTTAATTGGTGCATCAGAACGTCGTCGGATGTAAAGTTTTTAAATCCGTCCATAATGCAAAGCAAAGAATAATTCAATTTAGGTTTGTACCATCAGTACAAATGTAATCCACAAGATGGCAGATCAGTGCAACTATTTTCTCAAAAAGAGAAAGCCTCCAAAAACTAAAATAAGCTACAATAGAGTCTACTGTACAACTTGATGAGAAATGGTCCTGAATTCAAAGCTTCACTATTTAAAACACATTAATTTTAAGACATAAACGTGTTTAAATACAGGCAGAATTACAATTATTAGCTTTGTTGCATAATTCTGTTTCACTGCTTTGCTGATTGTAA